TTTCTTTTCATGTCGTCCCATATAATTGTTAGGTTCTCTTCATTTCTCTTAAATCTTTTTCTCCTTTTTCTTTATACAGGCTGGTATCCAGGGATTTGTCTTCTAGTTGGTATATGTGTTCTTCAGCCAGTTCTAACTTACTCTTTTGTGCTTCTACTGTGTTGTGTAATTCTGTAATTTTGGTATTCATCTTCTGGATTTCTATCTGCTGGTTTTGTATGAGTTCTGATTTTGCATTAATATTATTATTTTGTTCTTGAATGATTTTCCTGAGTTCTTTCAGGGAACTGTCTGTGTTCTCCTTGTTTCTGTTTGGAGTTTCCTTAGGCTCTTGTAAAGCTCTGTAAACATATCTTCTAAATTCTTTCTCAGATTATTCTATTGCCTCCTCTTCCTCCATGTTTAATGAGACCTTTGTTTGTGGTTTTGCTTCTAATGCCTTGTCCTGTTTTTTGTTTGTTTGTTTGTTTGGTTTGAGGTTGCCTTTTGTTTCCTAGACATTTGAGGTTGTCTTTAACTGTTCGTTATGTATTGATTTGTTTTGTCTTGGTTTTATGGTCTAATATTTTGAAAAGGTGAAGCTGGTGTATTTTATTTTTTTAGTTATTAAGTCAGGTATGCTGCGTTGCTCTGAAGTTTTCTTTGTGATAGTGGAATCAAAGTGTGGAATGTGGATATGGGTTTCTGTTTGTAGTAAAGAGGGTTTAGAGTTTGAACTGGGAGGTTTTATGTTGGCTGAATGTGGTTTCTTCTATTGGATGAGTGAAGCTATTGGTGGAGAAGGTGGGAGCAGAAGAAGGAAAGCTCACTGTTGATAGGGGTGGTTTCTAGGGCTTTGAGTGGGCTGCTACTGATAATGTCATACTATTATTTACAGGCCCACAGCTCAATTTCAGCAAAGACTCCAGTTGTTAAGGGGTTGCCACTTTCTGCCAGGCTCAGATACAAGCAAAAACCCCTCTCCTGAGGCCCCTTGGCACTGAAAAGCCGACCCAGGACAATTTCCCGGCTCTGCAATCCACTGCAGGGACTTCTCTCTCTGGTCCCACACACCTGTGATGCTGGCCCAACTAGCCCAGACGATGATCTGCTTCAGGAATTCCTGTGAGGGTTCAGCCACCTGTGGCACCAAAGATCTGCTTGGTTTCAGTGGCACTGGAGTCGGGAGGGTACCCACTAGTAATCTGTGGTCCCAATAGTACTGATAAAGTCAAGTGCAGGCTTCTCAGTGCCACTAAACTGACCCAAGCCTACTTGGTGTCCCGCTGCAGGGGCACCTCCCTGGGCCTGCCCACCTGCAGCACCAATGGACTCTCTGCTCTGGTTTCAGTGGCACTGGATGTGCCTGTTTGCACCTAGCTGACCCAAGTTACCGATAAAATCAGGTGCTGAAGGTAGATCCTTGGGGTGATTGCTGGTATGTTGGTGTGGTTGCTGGTATGCTGGTGTGGTGTGTCTTCTTCCTTAACCCAGGGAGGTCTTGGATGGCCACTCTCGCCTGCTGGTCACTCCCGCAGGGAAGTCTCTGATGGCCTTTTTCAGCTTCCTGTTGGCGCCCCACAGGATAGATCTTCTGATCTTGTTATTTTTTCCCCTGTCCCTTTCTCCTTTCTAATTCTACTCCTCTGAGTTTGGTGCACTCTGACTCAGTGAGCTGTTCAGAGCACCAGAATCACTAATTCAAACTGCTGTACCTAGTTTTTCAAGCACTAAGATGCTAGAGGGAAATAGTGTGGTGATTACTGATGAGACTCCATTTTGAATCCTCAATCAAGAAAATTCTTGAAGAAGACTTGAAGGAGAAGAAGCCAGACAAGGGAAAGCTGTGGTAGTAGCCTTTCAGAAATCATGTTTATTCTTTTCCCTTTCCCCTCTCCTCTGTATATTCCCTGACATTCCAAGTTTTTTCAGGCATAACTAAACTGTGGTAAATTGCAAAGTGACCACCATACTTTAAGAGGAAAGAACTATTTTCCTACCCTTTGAATCCTGACTAAACTCATAGTCTTGCTTTGGCCAAAAGAATGTGGCAGTAGTGATTTGTGAGTTCCACACTTAGGCCTCAGGAGACATCTGTTCTTGTATTTTTAGAATCTATTAACTGTCATTGAAAAGCTTGAGCAATCTGCTAGGAGATGAAAGTATGTGGAGAGATACTCCAGTCACAGATGAGGCCACTATAAGCCAGCCAAACCCAGCTAACACCCCAGCCAATCCCAGATACATGAACAAGCCCAGCCAAGACTAGCCTGAGCCTGGCCCTCAGCAGAAGAATTACTCAGCCAAGTCCAGTCAAAATTGCTAACCTGCATAAGTCATGAATTAAATAAAAGGTTATTATTTTAAGCCATCTAAATTTGGAGGTGGTGTGTTATGCAGCCTACGCTAACTGATACACAAACTAATCAGTCTTGTGGTTTGAGATCTTTACTGGAGCCTTCCATGCAAGTTCAGATTTATTAGGCTGAGGAAACCCTGTGCTTGCCACAGCATGTGCCTGAACCACTGGGTCAGTTCTGGAGTTAAACCAGCTTTGTTGGACTCTCTAGTTAGGAAGCATGAAGCCTAAGCCATTATGAGAAAGTTAGAGTTGAAAGAAACTGGAAGCATTGTCATTTTTCCCTTCTGCCTTATAAAGTAGGAAACTAAGATTTTACAGTAGAGTTTTTTTTTTTAATTTTTGTTTTTGTTTTCCCAGTCAAAGGAAGCAAGGTTTAATGGAGAGAGCATAGGCTTTGAAGGCTGAAGGCAAGTTCAAATTCTGCTTTTTAACAACCTTAATTCCCAGCTATGAGACTTGAAGCAATTTGCTTCATTTCTCTAGCCCCAGTCCCTCATCTGTAAAGTATAGATTAAAAAACCTCTGAGAATGAGTTGTGATATGGTTTAAAAACCAAACTCCCTGCTATAGAGTCAAATCCAACTCATAGTGACCCCTCCTTGGGTTTCTGAGGCAGTATCACTACAGAAGTAGATTGCCCAATCTTCCTTCTGAGGAGTGGCTGGTGGGTTTGAACCACAGCCTTCTGGTTAGCAGTCAAATGCCATAGGCATTATGCTACTAGGCCCCCTCTTTTTGTTCCTCCCTCTCAACCAAGATGAGGAGATGGGAGAGCAGGAAATTTGATAAACTGACTCCTTCCTTCAAGGTAACATGAAGCTCACAGAAGAGATTTTGCTACTCCAGGACCAAACACCTTCCATGCCAGTCCTAGAACTACCCTCATCTTCATGGAGAGGCAACTGCAGCTCCCATCTGGTGTTCACAGTGGCTGAACCTGACAAAAGTGCTTAACTTAGGGTCAATAAGGTTTTATTTTACTGCACAAAGATTGGTGTGTCCTCTTTACAGGTGAGGTTTGGGTGTCTTCATATTCTGACAAATTTCTTATAATGGAAAAAGGAGACTTCCTCCCAGTTATGAATCCCATAATTAACAAGAGAAACTCATTGCAGGCTAAAATCTAACTGCAGTAATACTGTGTATCCAGAACTTCCCACCTAAGAAGTTAAACTCTTGGTTATGATTAGGATTTAAAAAAAATTTGAAAAGGCAAACAATTTATTGTGCATTTATTTACCACAATAAAAAAAGTGAAAAAAGCCCCCAAACTTAAAGCCTTCCAACTGAGATATCTCAGGATGCATATTCTTATTTAAATTGCTGCCAATTTTGTTACATTTTATAAGATTAACTTTGTTCAACATTTACCTAAGGTTTACTGTACTTCATATAAAATACAAGTTAGTGTGACAAAGCAAACATTCATAAAATAACTAATATAAAGTAAAATGGAAAGTAAAAACAAATGAATCTTTTATGTAAAAGCTTTATAATTATGTCTATGCTTAGCTATTGCACTATGAATAGGGTATATGTTACTTTGAGGCACTTATAAAATGACAAAGGCTGCATAATCATCTTTTTAAAAGAATCCCCAGTTGCTACCCTACATCTGTGATGATCTAAGGCTTTGAAACTATAATCAGACTCTAGACAAGACCTTATACTGTGACTCTGGCATCTTAGGAGGTTCCTTTGTAGGTCAAGTTTATTTGCTTATTCCTCCATTATAAATCTGAATTGTTCGTTAATCTTCTAACCTCAGTGGGATAAGGTAAGGTTAAGTAAAATGATTGAAAAGAGCTTTGCAAATTTATGTGTTGTTGTTGTTATGTGCAGTTGAGTTGGATCCAACTCATAACGACTCCTCCTTGGGTTTCTGAGGTGATATCACCTTGGAAGTAGATTGCCCAAACTTCCTTTCGAGGAGTTGCTGGTGGGTTTGAACTGAAAGGCTTCTGGTTAGCAGTCAAATGCCTTAGGCACTATAATATTTCTAATTATATCTCTGGTAGCATAGTGGCTAAGACACTTGCCTGCTAACCAGACGGCTGGCGGTTTAAACCCACAAGCCACTCCTCGGAAGGAAGGTTGGGCAATCATACTTCCGTAGTGATACTGCCTCGGAAACCCAAGGAGGGGTCACTATGAGTCGGGTTTGACTCAACGGCACATAAAAACAACAACAACAATTATATCCAAAGCAGACTGTCTTCTGATCTAGCTAAACAGGCGTGGGGCTGGTCCTCAAACTCCTTAGCAGGCTCTCCCAGGTGGAATTTCTGTATCTAGTCTTTGGGGAGGGAGACTGTCCAAGGGCAGCAAATGAGGGTATTCCTCTCACCTCATGCAAGCCTAACAGAGTGTTTGGGTAGGAAAAGTTTAGGTTCAATTGGAACAAGGATACCTCTCTGTCCAGAGTGCTCTATATCCATAATCCCCACCCTTTTGCACATGGAGGCAAATAGGAAAAAATGCCCCCTCTGGTTAATTTTGTTCTTCCGCAAAAGCTGGGAGGCAGATCTACCCAAGGTTGCAGTGATGGGCTTTCCCTAGCACCTCTTCCAGCTTTCTTTCTCCCTTTTCACTGACCCTGCCAGTCTCCCTCATGATGTTCCTGCCCATCCCATGTGGCTGAATCTTGAGATTGACTTACATAGTAATCCTGATCTAGACCTTTCCTCCCAATTAGATGTAACTGTCCAAGAGATACCTAGGAACAATAATTTTAAAAAATGATTTTAGCAGTAGTATTAATTTAAATAAACAAAGGAAAGCATATTTACTACATTAGGTCAACTCAGTTTGATATAGTTGCCATGCCATAAAAGAAGCAGGAAAAGGACTACATTTTTTATTGGTTACTTGGTTGCTGATGGGCATAAGGCCTTTTTGGTGGCAGGATGCCAGCCCATATACTAATGCTTGGGTGCATAATCCTAAGAGTCCTAACTCTTGGCTCTCAAAGGTCACCCAAATGCAGCCCCATTCTCAAAAGCAGAATGTTGCTAGACCCCGGAGGAGTTAATTCATATCAAAACTAGCATTGAATTGTACTTTTTTTTCTATAATTAAATCTAGGTTTTTTTAAAAAAATATTTTTTTTAGGAGGAATCAAATGTGAAAAAACAAAAACAAAAAAAATCTATTACTATGGCAACTGAATCTTCCAGAGGCCACAGGAACTGCAAGTGGCTGAGGGAAGAAACAGAGAGTAGGGGTGTCTCTTCTCTTTCCCATCCAGCTTGGAGCACTGTTAACCCCTAGAGGACTCAGACAGAACCAGGCCCTTTTTAATTTTCACATTCTAAAAATTCAAGATCTTCAGTATACATTACTTGTATCTGAACATCTCCTCTTTCTGCCAAAAATTTATAGTATTGATATATGTCCCAATCCAAAATTTCACTGTTAGAGCTCAGATTTTCGGGTCTTTCAGTTAGTCTCACTTTCTCCACTGGGATACCTTCAGTTTTTTCCAATTTGTCAGCAACTGTGAATAGAAACAAGCCAGAGAATAGCCGGAATATACAAGGTTGCAAGAGATAAACATTAACTTAGAGAAAACACTTTTAAGCCTGTTGGCCTTAAATTGTGCAGAAATCTGGTCCACTAACAAAAAGAGAATATCTTTGTAAAATATCAAAATTTGATGACTTTTGTTTATTTTTTTCTGAGAAAAGGGCATGAAACCCAGTTATTCTTTGCAGCACATACAAATATTGTACTAACATATACAAGACCCTATTGAAAATCTTGCACTGGCAGCTCAAGAAAAGAGGAGACCCCTCTACCACTGACCTTTCCCAGGACTGAAACTAGAAAATGAGAGTAATAACTGCTACTTACTTTCTATGAAAATATAAAAATAAATAAACTCAAATACACCTTTCAAAGTATGCAGTGTGAAAGATATACATAGTGATGCTAGTTTCATTAAGCATAGGAAATGATCTTGTGTTATATAGCATTTTAAATTCAAAAGTAGTTTCTTTTTCTCTCCTTCTCTTCTCAAATCCTAATAGTGCCAAAGATGTCTATTTAGATGTCATTTTGATTATAGAAATTAACCAAATGGACTTGATCTTATTCACTTTTGGAAAACTTAGAAAAAATCTATTATGTTCAGTGATGTTGAAACATGAAATGTTACATACGATCTTGAAAATGATCCTAGGAACATATATTAGCCTCATGCTCTAGTTCTAATAGGCAATGAATACTGGTTGAATTGTTCTCAAGTGCAGTGATAGAAATCTCAATGTTTGTGCCTTATATTTATTTCCTTAGCAATTTTTAACAAGTCATCTGTATTCTCACTGTTGGAATGAGGAAAACTGCTTAATATTTATTGGCATTACATTCAATGCACAGCTTAAGGAAAGACCATCATAAAAATGAGTAAAAGAGAACCTGTTTAGGCATATGTACTACAAAAAATAAAACATGAGTAAAATTTTAAACTTTTGAAAAATAACTACAAAGCAATCAGAAACTCTAGATGGTATTCAAAGAATTGTATTATAATTGATATTAAAAGGATTTTTTAAAATATTTTCATAAATTTATGTCCACTGGTATTGATTTTTTAAAAATGATTTGGCAAATTTGTTTATCTTGAAGTAAATTATGAAGATTACTCACTGTAATCTGCCACTTTCTTGTAATGATTTAGGGCAACTTCACAATTCTGTAGAACATTGATTCCTGACAAATATCTGTACCCCTGAAACACAGGCATATATATTCTTAACATTATGACAATGCTATATTTCTAGAACATTTACTTAGGCCCAAGAGTATTTAATTTACGAACCAAAATCATTTGGGACATCATGCTTCCTCCAGCACTTCCAAAGGTATAATATATCAGTGCCTAAATTTAAAAAAAAAAAATTATCTTGGTCAACCTCTAAACATGTTTATTCCTAGCCTAGAAATGAACCTTGAATCACTCCAAAATAAATTCTAAATTCCCCTCTCTTCTCTATAAAGATGAGTGCCACTTAATTGGGAGCTTCCCAAGCTCTAGAGTCTGTG